TGTCAATATGGACCAAAATCTCTGAGGAATGCTTCCAGCACCTTGTTGAATCTATGCCACGAAGAATTGAGGCAGTTCTGAAGGCAAAAGGGGGTCCAACTCGTTACTAGCGTGGCGTACCTAATAAAGTGGCCGGTGAGTGTAGATGACGTACACGCGTGCCTGAGCACCTTCTAAAACGTCCATCTTGAAATCAACTGCGGCGCGCGGTCTTTGCAGAGCTACAACATCTTATCAGGACACCACGCGGTGTCATCGCGAACGGGCGGTGGACGCCGCTATTGTGTCGCTTTTAACGCAAGCCCCCTTACGCCCTGTGTGTCGCGTCAACTGTAACCGTAGTTTAAGGCAAGCCCAGTCCCTCACCTGGTAACCCAAGCAGAGACTCCGCCCACTTCTTCACAGGACGACCATGTTAGTTCTGCTGTTTTTACAACAGAGATGACTGGCTTCATTTTATTTTTATTTTTGATGCCAATGTTCTGACAATATTGCCAAAGAAAGTTGTAGTTTGTGTAAATAATGTCACAATGGACTTGATTGAAAACGACTAACAGTGCAGAGCAGGAAACGTCTGTCCCTACTGTCCGTCACAAACCTGACGATGGTGGTAAGCCATGTTTTGTGAGTTTAGTGTTGCTGTTTGGCATGAACATGGTTTGTTGTTTAGCACAAATTATTTTTGATCGACTACCAAGGAGGCGAGCAGCTTTCCCCTTCACAACGCCGGCCTGGGGAAGTGGTGAAGGACACAAGTTGGCCTCCCCAACACCAAGGTCTGGACGCACCAGTCTGTGCACACCCATTGTGCTTCTGCTTATACTACCCGCTTATTTTCACCTTCTAACATAAACGCAGAGCTGGGAGAGCACTGCCAACAGCAAATTATTTGTATCAACAGCTTGTTCTGAATTGGAGCTCAGAACAGGCAGAAGTGAAAAATGTCATGATGTACAGGTCCAGCCAAGTGGAAAAAATCACTCCAAAGTGGATTAAAGACATAAAAACAAAGGAAAGACGTTGGTGTTTATGGTTCCAGAATTTAGCCTTTTTCACTATTCCTTGGCTGCTTGTTCTGTGAATTTTTCACGTAGAGCTGTGACACTTATATTGTTGGAAAGAGCAGAGTCTGGGCTTTAAATTGATGGGCTACTTGTATGGTTTGGATCATTTTCCCCGACGTTAGTGAACTGAAAATGTAATGATTATCAGGAGGAGGTTCTGCTGCTCTCAGGGGGCGCGCTCGTCACTTGGCTTTAGTCTACGCTGTAATATATACTCTAACAAGGTTTTACTTTTATATAAAACTCATGACAAAGTTGCCTAAAACATTTCATACTCTGTATAACACAAACACACACCTACCTTTGTACCGGCTGCTGTGTTAGCTTCCTGCTAGCTGTGAGGAGGTCTTTCCTCTCTTGTCTTGGCAGTAAAAGGGGATAAATGTACATTTCTCTTTTGTAACCTCCGTCTTCTCATTTCTGATGCTGACTCTTGAATATCCTCAGGTTAGAAATGCTGATTACAAACACAAGTGTGAGCTTTTAAAGATGAGTTTTCCCTGTAATGCTATGATCCACAGCTGTCACCTCCTCATCAAGAGGAAAAAGAATAAAAACTAACTACTCAGTCATACCTGCTGGTTAGTGGACACAACGACACACAACAGAACTCATGTTTTACACCAGTAGATCACAGATGATTTAACTTTTGTGACTTTTTCACAGACTAGTACAAGCAGCTAACGCTAAAAATAAAGGCAGTAAGCAGGGAGTGGAAGGGAGGAGCGTGGCAAAAATTTTACCGGAAATACGTCATTAATGACCGTGGCTTGTAGGCCCTCGCAATGTCTTTCCGTTACCTCGCAATATGTTTGCGTTACCTCGCAATATCTTTGCGTTACCTCGCAAAATTGTTTCGCGTTCCCACACAAAGTTTGTGTTGTGTATGAACTGAATAAAATCAAACTTTTACTTTGAAATATCCGGTTACCAAAACAGGATGTGTCACCACAAGTTCGTGAAACTGACATTGATGTTGTGTGGCTGCACTGTGTTAAAATATCTGTATATGACACACTTCCATGTGTGTCTGTGTGATATATTCATTGTGAAGCTGAATTAAAGCAGTAGACTAACTCACTAATGGTGAACATGCGAATGTGTTAATAAACCAGCATCACAACAGTGATAAACGACTTTTATGAGGTCACGCAAAAGAAACAATCTCTCATGTCCCCTCGCGGGCTCCGTAAAAAGACTTTATGTTGAGCCCTGCAATGTAAGAAAAAATTCAGACCAGAATGTCTTCATGTCAAGTACAAATACTTTGTTACTGTGCTTAAGTAGAAATTTTGGTTATCTGTACTTGAGTAATTATTTTTCAGCGTACTTTTTACTTTTACTCATTACATCTTTACACAATTATCTGTACTTTCTACTCACTACATTTTTAAAAAGGTAAGAAGTAGAAAGTTGTTAGTCCTATTTTATTCTGAGTTGTTATTACTTAAAAAAATACTATCCTTAAATTGTGTCTTCTGTGTAGGAGGTGAGCTTAAGGTGGTATTAAGATTCTCCCACATCTCTCATAC